TTAAACAACAGGGCAGTGGGTTTTCTGCGCGTTTGCAAGCTGCTAGGATCTCCCCAAACGTTGACATTGACTTTGGGGGGGAATAAAGGCAGGCGCTTCCCACGGCACGGCGGGGATTTTGCATCGCCCGGTGCTGCTGCTCCTAGCTGAACCCTTCCTCCTTGCTTTCTTCCTCGGCCTGAATTCTGGAGGCAGGTCGCTCTCTTAAAGCTGAGCTGTCCTTGCCCAGTTTCCCCCCCCACACACACACACTCCCGGTCACGCCGGGGGGGCTGTCGCAAGACAAGCAGCCGGTGCCCTGGGATCCCACGTCGGGCAGGATGGCGAGGGTGGGGGTGAGGGTGCCGTGTTGTAACCGGGGGGGTGCGCTCCCCTGTACCCGCAGGTACGGTACGATGGACGGTGGGACGCGGAGGAAAAACGCCACCCGGGAGACCACCAGCACCCTGAAGGCCTGGCTGCAGGAGCACCGCAAGAACCCCTACCCCACCAAGGGCGAGAAGATCATGCTGGCCATCATCACCAAGATGACCCTCACCCAGGTCTCCACCTGGTTCGCCAACGCCCGCCGCCGGCTCAAGAAGGAGAACAAGATGACCTGGCCCCCCCGGAACAAGTGCTCGGATGAGAAGAGGCCCTACGAGGAAGAGGAGGAGGAGGAGGAGGAGGAGGCTTCGCGGGAAGAGGCGATGAAGAGCGGCAAAGCCGAGGGTACCCTGCTAAAAACAGGCACTTAGCGGTTCGGCGGGGGCTCGGCCCCCCCGGGGCGGGTCTCGCCCGTGGGGGCGGCCCGTGGGGGCAGGGCAGCCCCCCCGGGCAGTGACCGTCTGTCTTGTGTTTTGTTTTTTTTTTTTTGCTGTCCCTTCCCCCGCTCCCACCCCGCAGAACCCACGGGCAAGGAGGAGAAGGAGCTGGAGCTCAGCGACCTGGAGGATTTGGACGCCGTCGAGTCGGAGAGCTCGGAGTGCGAGCTGAGGCGCCCCTTCCCGCCCCCTCTCCCCCCCCCGCCTCGGGCCCCCGAGCCCCCCGCCAAGATGCCACCTGCCGGGGAGGAAGAAGAGGAAGAGGAGGAGGAGGAGGAGGAGGCGGCGGAGCGGGCGCGGAGCTGCTTGAAGCCGGCGGCGGGGGGAGAGTGCGGCCCCGAGGTGCTGGGAGCCCGGCAGCGCGGTTGCGAGTCGAAAATGTGCTTCCAGCCCGGGCAGCAGCTGCTGGAGGCGAAACCCAGGATTTGGTCCCTGGCTCACACGGCCACCTCCCTCAACCAGGCCGAGTATCCCTCCTGTATGCTGAAACGGCAGGGAGGGGGGTCGGCTCCCCCCGCCGCAGCCGCAGCCGCCGCCGTCTCGTCCCCGGTGGGTGTCATCGATAGGCACCAGGATTCGCCGGTCACCAACCTCAGGAACTGGGTGGACGGGGTGTTTCACGACCCCCTGTTCAGGCACAGTACTTTGAACCAAGCCTTGAGCAACACGACAGTGTCCTGGGCTACCACCAAAGGAGCCGTGCTGGAAACGGGAGCCTTGGGACGGGCGGTGGGGAACGGTGCCAACGTGCTCAAGGGGCAACTCTCCAACCTGGCCCACCAGGACTCGAGCAAAGAGTTTCTGGCTTTTCCCAAATCAGGAAGCAAAATGTTTTGCTCCTAACGGGCGCGCCCGAGGGGCGAAGGACTTTCGAAACGCGTGGCGAAGAGTCAGCTACACTGAAAAGAGAGACTTGCGAGAGTTTAAAACTTTTTCCTTTTTTTAAAAAAAAAAAACAAAACAAAAAAAACCCCACCAAACAAAACCCCAACAGAAACGAGGATTTAAAGTTCAGTTCGCTCGGTTCAACGGACAGACTTTGCTCATTGCTGTTCTGAAGAATTTCTCCTGGCTGCGACTTTAAGGGATCAATGTCGTGAAAGTTATTTAATTCCATGTCCAAAAAGCACGTCCTATAGCGTAGACCTACTTAAAAAGTTTACATCCGAAAAGTTTACAAACGGGAAATTTTAAGTCAGATTTAATTTAAGGCATGCCGACATTAGTTATAAAGACTTTTCGAGAGTTTTTCCTCCTGATTTCCTTGTTAGCATATAATTCACAAACAGCACTTCTACTGAGTTTACACCTACTGCACAAATTTATCTTGACAAAAAAAAAAGAGAATATGTTAAAAGCTATGTTCACTCCAATAAATTGTCTGTTTCAGAGGTAACATAAGTGGTGGCGTTTTACATTGTGAAAAAAACAGCCTTTAGTTTTCAAAACTCCCCTTCCCCCCCCCCCCCGCCCCAGCCCGGTCCCGGTAATTCCAAGGGCTGTCAACAGGCTGCCCTGGGATACTTGTTTGCTTTCCTCTTTTTCCCGGCAGCCCCCCCCGGGCCAGGATGTGTTGGGGGGGGAGCATCGACCCCTCCACCCCCCCCTCAAGAGCTGCAGAAGGACGGGGGTCGTCCCCAAAAAGCGGGGGTCGGTCCCAAAGGGCCGGCTTCGGTGGCGACGTCGCCTCCGCCTTGCGCGGAGCAATTGATTCCCATGGAAAAATTGGATCTTTTAAAAGAAACGTTTTAGCTTTCCGGCTTCTCTGCCAGGATGGAGAAATCGCTGATCCTCCATGAATATTTCAGCACTTCAGGACAGATGCTTTACCGTTTTGACATTAAATAGAGTGCAGCCAACAAAAAAGAGAGAGGGAGAAAGAGAGAGGGAGAACGAGCGCTCTCGACGTGTGATCCTGGAGCGCTCGCAGCCAATTTACCACTTAGAGAACAGGCGTTTAAAACATTTCCTTCCCTTCCCGGCAACGGGAACAAACTTTACAGATCTCCGGACCGGGAGAGAGAGAAGAGGGAGAACTGCTGGAAGAGAAACTGCGAGGCAAAACCAGACCCAGGCTTACCCAGCCCGGCCTAAACCCCGAAAAGCGCCCGAAGGACCGAGCTGACAGCTGACAAGCAGAAGAGCTTTTTTTGCCTCCCACCTTCCTCACCCATCCCACCCCTGCGGTTCTCCCCCCTCCCCAAATAAATAAGAATAAAATGCGCGTGTGTACACATATATATATATATATTTACAAAGGATAAACGCAACCGAGACAGCACCCAGCCACAAAAATAGAACGTACTCCAGCCCGCAAAGTTTCTAGCGAGACCTGTTAGTGCAAGGACTGAATAAAGGAATCCGGGTGCGGAGATCAGATCAAGCCCTTCCCCTCTCTGCGAGCAGCCGTAATTGGATTGTATCCAGTCATATTCCCTGTCATTGTATTGACTTTCGCTCTCTTGGATGATATTATCGAGATCACTGAACCCCTCTGCTGATCTGGCTGTCAAAAGGCTCAGACAGGAGCCCCCGGCCTGGAAAACGTGCATCAGCCAAGATAATTTGAAGTGAAATTTTCATTTTGACAGTAAACCCCTCAATTTCTAAAGGCTCTGCACCCGGAGAGCTCGGTGGCAGGGGGAGGCTTTACAGAAAGCCCACGTCTTAAACTGAAAAGGGCAAAAGAACTCGAATTAGTTGTAATAGATAAAAGGGCAAAAATAAAGAGTCAAGGGTACTTGACAGTAATAGCGAAAGTGGAGTCTCCGGGGAGCCGCGATCTCAGCTAAAGGCTGGGCCGGCAGGAATTTTAATGCAGCCGGGGCGGCCGGCGAGCTTTGCCTCTGAAACCCTTTAGACAAAGCAAATTATTTTCAGCCAAACTAAGGAGGTGGGGAGGAAGGAGGCGAGAAAGAGGGAAGGGAGGAAAGGCGAGTGTTTGGGCTGCCCTCAAACCACTGAGGATGGAGAAGCGCGGGGGGGGGGAACCCCGCTGCCTGCCACGATGGTCATTTTAAAGCCGGGAGGGTTGGGGTTTTTTTTGCTGAGCAGCCAAAAATCTCCTTCAGCCTTAAAAGTGCCCTGACTGCTGGGGAGGGCAGGCGTTTCACAGGTTCCCCCGCCCGCAGCCGGCATAAATCACGACCGGCCGGGATTTGGTCTGCTCGTCCTTTGGGAGGCATATCCCGCCCCCCCCCGGGACTTAAAATGAAGGTGATAACACTGTGGGCAAAACACAGGCGCTCTGAAATAGCAGAAGCCGAAAGAAAAGCGGACCGAACCTTTCTCCCTTCATTTGCGCGTCACTGGCGTTTTATAAAACAAGTTTGAGTAAGTTTACGTCTGTTGTACAACAAGCCCGGATCCCTGCGGAGGACGGGCCGGGTGTTAGAGCTGGTGGGTATGTGTGTGTCTGTATGCCCTCACACCCACCAGAACATCACCGATCCTGAGGTGAGACTGTAGAAATTATGGGGGAGGGAAAATAGTTTCTTGCTTTGGCACACGAACCTTATCTCTAGATCAGCCGTCAAATGCAGTCGCCTTTCAAAAGGCTTGTGTGGTGGGTTTGTTTTGTTGTTTGGTTTTTTTTTTTTAAAGTCTGAACAAAAGAGTGTGAGAAATTAATTTTGCCATTTGATTCAATAGCACAGATCAAAGATCAGGTTCGGCTGCTTTAGAGGAGGCTACGGGGCTGAAAGGGGAAGCCGTGCAGCTCCTATGGCTGTACAAAGCAGAAATATAAAAGGCAGACTGAGAAAGAAAGAGAGGAGGGGAAAAAATCATAGAGAAACGGCTTGAAACTGAGAGACTCTAAATCATTCAGCCATGGCAAATTCAAACACACAAAGGAGGGGATGCTAAATTAACAGTGCTTTTTACATAGAGCCCAAATAAAACTGTAATCAGCGACGCGTTACTTTTCATTAAGCGAGTTTGACAGCAGCATATTCAGCCTCGACAAGGGAACAGGAGCGAAGAAATATACGGCTCTCCCAGCCCGAGTCATAAGATAATTCCTTAAGCTCCATTAACAACTCTTAGCCGCAGGAAATGGGCTCCCTGAAAACATCTCCAAATCTAAAAGCTTTATCGACCTCTCAAACCTCTGCTGATGGTTCTATTTTTTTAAAAAAACTTAGAGGCGAGACGTCCAGCAAGGTAATAGACTTTGACACAACACCTTCTTAACTAGAGAGAGAGAAGCAGGGAAAACGAGACCTTAAATGATATTTAAAAGGCAGCCAATTAAGATTTAAAATGATTGTCTCCTGAGATTATGCATGCGATTTATGTCATCTACTTTTTTTCCCAGGCATGCATGCAAAATTGCAATAGGGCATATTGCCTGTTCCTTGAATAATAATAATAATAATGATAATAGAAGAAACAGTAGCAATTAGCAATCTGTAACTATCTCACATAATGGTAAATGCTAATTTAGGAAAGGGCTGGCGTTTAGGTAACCCGATTATAGAGCACCTTGCAACAGCCAGCTTATTTATAGGTGCCTAATTAAAAGACAGACGAAACGATACGCACATTTTCTATTAATGTTTAGGAGCACATTTCTTTTTATCTTGAGTGCATATTTGACTATTAAAGTTGCGTAATCGGCTCATAGTCACAGAACGCAGTGTAGCAGCTCCTTCCCATCAGCTACATGAAGAGAGGCGTCCAAGAAGACTTTGTCTTGGCAAGACCTTGAACATTACATATTTTAAAGATATAACGGTTGAGAAGGAGACTCTGACTTACTACAGTCTTTTGGATACACATTTTCCCTTTAAATCTGACCTTCAAATAATATGAAGGCTTGAGAGTGCGAAAGTGTATCCAGTCAAATGCCAAGGAAAGAGTTAATGCTCACATTGTACTAGTTCATGCAGAAATTCTGGAAAATACAAGAAAAGATTATAACTCGCTGATTTTGTGAGGGATCAGAAACTGTTTCAATGAGTGTGATTCGTAGATGAATGGGGAGGAAAAGGATCAGTCAAACACCAGTGTGTTTTGGCCAAAGTGTTTAGGTCCCCCCTTAGATGAAGTTAGTACTGGCAACAAAGTGATGAGCTTGGGTCTGAGTCCCGTGTCTCTTGAGGTTTGTGCCTGTAACTTTGTACCTAAAAGAGTGAAGAATGGAAGGATGTTAATGGTCAAATTATATATTTTTATTTGCCTGATAAAAAAAAAGGTAATAATTGTGATTCCCCTTAAAGAGGAAGCTGTTTCTAACGGAATAGCTAATGGCCAAAACACGGGTCCTGAAAGTGTGACATCTGGCATGTTTTAACTCACATTTACTGTCAAAGAGGCTGTGAGGTGCTTAGGACTCATGGGAAGGGTTCTCTTCAATGAACATTGAACAGTGAAATGGCATCACTGCAGAAAATAATTCCAGATTTGTAGGCCACCCAAAAAGCAGTTTTAATATACGCACCAACTACATAGGTCTGGGGTCAGTTTAATACACAAGCCGTCAGTCTCCCGTGCCGTATGACTATATAGCGAAATCTCAGTTTGGCTCAGAACTTTATGACACATTTAACATAACCTGAAGAACCAAGGGAACAGGAAACACTTGGGAGCAATGCAAAAGCAAAAGGCGATATTCGCTTCCCAGTGTCCCCCCACCCTATTGAGAAATGGGACTGGGTTCAGGGAGGAAAGAAAGAGGCCTCCGCTCGACCCAGAGAGAGTGCATATATGCAAGCCCCGCTGGTATCTCGCTTTCCAAAGTGGGGAACGTGGTCCAGGCATGAGAACTGCAATTGACCTACTTAGGATGCTCAAGAGCTATTTCTTGTCCATCCCAGTTTAAGGAGAGCATGAAAATGAAGGAAATATCTTGAAGGAAAGTGTTCTCTTAATGTTCTTTTTTTCCTGACACAAATACATGAAAAAATTCTTTTTCTCGTTGATTTG